AAGTCTGCACAAAAGACATTGCCTTTGATTTGATCTTGCGAAAGCGAAAGTTTATATGCCGCTAATGAATTATATTGTATATCGAAAGACACTACTTCCCAGAGTTTCCCCGGGCCCCGCCCCAGTGGCGCAATCCCCGGGTGGTCTTCGGGTTCTTCATCGAAGCGTAACACTCTGCATCGTTCGGTGGGATACGATAATTGAACTAATGAATGGATTTGAATGGTCTCCGTTGACATGTGGAGATCCCCTTCCAAACCGTGTGCATTATGCTTGTTAATTTCTGTCGATATCGCACAACGAACCCCGAGGATTAATCTTTGGGTAGGCAACCATGGAAGATAGTCGGCGAGGCCTTTCCCTTTCGATCTGCGATACCGCAAAAGACAGACAGGCGATTATTCATCTTGAAATGTTGTTACTGTGCGTAACAGAACTGTAAGGCCACCAAAAATTAACAAATTTTGGAGTGCAGATTCTTTTAAATATTATATTTGTGAGCCCCTCCGATCTATTGCCATAAATCATGTTTCGACATCACTTTCATCGCAAATCAAAGCTCATTCCGTATGTACAACACGTTGCATGAGTAATAATTGTGGAATTGCTTGTACAATTCGCGGAATACAATTTTAAAAACTTTATTTAGACTTTGACTTAGACCCTTGTCCAAGGGGGTGTTCGTTCATACCTTGACATCTCGGCGGTTGTAGTAGTAATCCATTGTGTCAGGTGTACAAATATTTATGCATTATATTATGGATGTATACTCCTCTCGGGCAACAAAAAACAATTAACCAAACAGTTTGTCAAGTTTCAAAGTAGTTTTCACCGTGGTAATTTCACTAAAAACACATCAAAATTTATAGACACATTCAACAAAAACGATATATACATAATTTGCATATGGTTCACATTTCCACAAATTTCACACACACCCCTTTTTTGTTTCCTTTCATGAGTGGTGCTGATGGTGCTGGTGGTGGGGTCTTTTTATTTTGTTTCTTTGGTTTTTTTTTGTGCTGTGCTGTGCTGTTGTGATTACTTTGCATATTGGAAACGTCCGGCGTGGCGTCTACGAGTATGTCTTGTTTTAGCAACATCATCATCATCATTATCATCATTTTGGTCGCTTCGCTTTTACTGTCGTTTGGCCATGCCGATGCGATGGGGAAGAGGGGGATGACTAAATTTTTGCAGGCAACATAGACACATATCGTATTTAAAATAGCGTTAACATTTTAAAAGCTTTTCACTGACCCCAATTGGTGGTGCCCCACACAGCCCCACAGCACAGCACAGCACAACACAGCACAGCACTCCCCAGAGCCACAGCCACTCCAGCACTCCACCACTCCACCACTGCACTTTCCTTAAAGACTCTTCTGTATATATTTATTGATGCCGCCCGTCTATTGACCATCTTGTTGCCAAGATGACATCGTTTTCCCGATTGCCGCTGCCGCTGCCACTGCCACTGCCGCCGCTGCACTTTTGCTATATGCAAATTATGGATAGTTTTAGAAAACCAAAGAAACTTCCACACTGGCCGACATCTGAGCATGGATTAAAGACCGATCTGTCTGCGGAAAGGCAAAGCCAACACATCGCAAGTCATGCCTGGATGATCCCTCAAGTTGGGGATCGATAGGGGCTGGGTGGCAAGATGTTGCCATAACTGATTCTCGATTACTTTTTGGCCCAATCGATAGAAACAATTACGGTACAGGCGGCGATTAATGAACTGTAAAATTGAATTCGATCACTGGAACGGAACGGAACGGTGCAGCAGCGCAACGGCGGATATTTGCTGGTGGAATGGTTGAAACGCCAAAGGGGGACGGGACCGTGTGAAAGTCAATTAATTTTGATTGTTTTTATTTTTTGGCATATTTCACTAATCTTTTTAGTGCAAATTCGGTGAAATTATGGGTTCGTGTGTGCGTTAAACAATACAAAAGAGAAAGACAGACAAGGCAGGCTGTAAAATAGGTTTTCTGATGATTGTTGTTGGCCCATTCGATTCCAAAAGGCAGTAACAACAACTGAAACCGATTGTTTGTTGTGGTTTTGGGTACGAGTATCGTACAAAAGCATTTTTCTTTTCTTTAGTATTTTTTTGTGTCTGTGGTTCCTTCATTTTTGGCATAGTTACACACAGACAATGCACTTTGATGCTTTGGTTTACTTTTCATTAGCGGCTCTTCAAAAGGGGCTTCACCAAATTAACAGCAAATTTCACCTAATTATGCCACTCGTTGAACCCTGCGTGCACTCCCGGCCCGAGCATTTCTTTTCATTTGATTTGTTAATATAATTCACTTTTTTTCTCCTTTCCCAGTATACACTTGACACCGACTTTGCCGCGAATTGGAAGTGGAATTGTGGTGCCCCGTTGCGCACCTGCGACGCCTGCGTACTCTGAAAACCAACTGACGGGACGGTGCTATCGACGGACGCTATCTGTTGGGCCATTCATGCGAGCCCGAGCCCCGGAGCTGAGCCTCGCACTGCGGTAGAGGCCAGGGTGTCTTTGGCAGAAGGTGAGGCCACTCTCTCGATCTCTCTCTCTCTCTCTCGCTCTTTGGACATGTGTTGTCTGGAACTCTGGTGCGTCTAGGCTTCAATAGTGGAGGAAACATATACATCCATGTATGTAGAGCTCTAGAGCACTCTTCTAGAACGCCTCACCTTGTTTTTATACATCTTGTGCACTGCGACAATCGGCTGCGGCTGCGACTGCGGCTGCGTCTGCGCGCTCTCTTCTCACTCTCCCCATAAGGTGAGAGAAAGTGAGTGTGAGTGCGAGTGTGACGACGTGCAAAAAAAAAACGGAAAACCGGCTTGCTTAGGCCTGTGCGCTCTCTCTCCTCTCTCTCTATGTCTCTTTTTTGTCCGTTTTGGGGTCTGCGTTGCCTGCGATCCACTTGCAACACTTGCGCTGCTGCTGGTGCGGCTGGTGCCGCTGCAATTGCTGCTGCAAGTTGCTCACGTTTCAGCAGAGCAGGTTTTTTCTGCTGCTGCTGTGTCTGTTGCTCTGTCTCCTTTCTGTCGAAGCGATTGTTGTCTTTGCCATTCTCATAACTAACGCAAAATTATATCATAGATCATGCCAATAGTGCATAACCGCAGCAGACGACGACAGGACAGGAGAGATACAGATGCAGATCCCGAGACTGATACAGAGATACAGATGGAGTTGGAGATGGAGAAACGCCAGCAAAACAGGTAACAAGAAGGAGAAACCAGACGCGCAGAGGCCGAAGATTGAGATACTCTTAAGGATTGATTATTGTATACTGATGATCGTTTAGCAATCGATAACTATCGATTATAGTCAATGTAGAGATATTTCAACGATTATCTTTGGAAACAATGCGATTTACTCATCAGTATTTGTTCTGTATAGTGCCCAGATCCTGCCGAATGAAGAGAAAACTATATACTATATGGAGTGAACTATCCTCATCCACTATATACAACTCTTATTGTACGATCTTTTTAAAGATACCCTCTATAAAGAGTATAGTATACAAAAAATACAGCTACATCTGTAGCTACAGAGATACATATCTGCAAGAGAGCTCTTAACATTTAACCCAAGTCTCGAAAATGCTGGCGGCACAAGTTCAAGTGCTGCCGCACAGCCCCCGAACCCGAGCCCGAACCCGAATCCGAACCCGATTCCGAATCCAAATCAGAGTCCCACTCCAGTCCCAACACATTCCCCCCCACAAGATACAGTCAGGCTGGCAGTCAGACAACGACTTACCTCAGGTGTAACTTGAGCCTGGTGTATGGGATTCGGTATAGCAGTATCTGTATCTGGTTCGTTTTTAGCTTTTGTTGCTTTGGTTGAAGATATTGTTGAAGTTGTTGAAGTTGTAGTTGGGATCGTTGTGGGTTTCTTTGGCTTTTGGCTCGTTTCGTTCGTTTTGTGTTTCATTTTGGCTTCATTCGAGGGCCTCTTCTTGGGGCCGCCGGGTGGGCTCTGCAATGTCAACAAATCCTTTTTCAGTTGTCCTATATTACGTTCTTTGGTTTTGATTTCCTCTAGCTGAAAGTCAAATAAATTAATTAGCAAACCCCTTTAGATATATGTATGTACAGAAATGTTTGTATATATGTAGATTTCAATGTGAAATATGAAAAGTTGCCTGAACCGCTTCTCTCGAATGTTGTGGTTGTTTGTTTGTGTCTCTTCTACGAGAAGTGTGTACGCACAACTTACCAAACGTGTTATTTCAATTTTGGCTGATTTTTGTATGTGAGTCAATCGGTTTTCATATGCATTCTTCAATTGCCGCATATCGGCAGCCTTGAGTCTATCTGCCTGCCCAATAATCTGCAAGAAATTGTCATATCACATGAGCGTTCCACTAATCAACCACTAATCAAGCCCCCCGGCAGCCACGGCGGTAGGGGGGCCAAAAGCAAGCCAATCCATGCTGTTAGTTTGCACTTTGCGATTAGGTGGCGCGCATCCATTAACCAAACGAGACACAGAAACACACATATATACACACATCGGAAATAACTGGAAAAAGGGGTTATCTAGGGCATAACCGAAGCTTTGGATGCCCTTGCAGAAGTTGAAAGAGAGCGAAAGGACGAAAAACAGCCGATAGGCGCTGCTGTAGGATGCGCGAGTATAAGATAATTCACATACAGGACATGAATGGAGATTGGGTTGGCTTTTCAACTAATAGAAACTAAAGTATTGTATCACTAGTGACTTATTTGAAAGAGATTTCTGGTTACTGTAGGCCTGTGTGCCTCGACAAAAACGTTTCGATAGATGGACTTTCAATATATATCCTCTAAAAGCCATTTAGACAGGGTATCCCGAGAGACACAAGATACTGTGCCACACAAAGCAATATTTGCTTAACGTCCTGCTGCTGATAGAGCCAGCGCATTAACGAAATTGCCATATTGAAATTGGTGTGGTCTATAAAAACAAAGGTGCCACCGTGTCCGGGCAAACAGTGTGCATTGCAATGTTCATCCAGTGGTTAAAGAACCTACTGCTCCTTGCATGGGTATGCCATTTGGTTGGCCGCACAAGTGAGAGCCGTATACCGCTGAACCTCAAGATGGACTCGAATTTAATGCTGGAGGTGAGCAAGATCTTGTGCAGGGCCCGCATTAAGGTGCTGTTTGTCTACTTTGAGAACGAGACATCGCATCAGCACACCGGACAGATACTGCGGGAGGTAACCAAGTGTGATATATCCTACATATCGCTGAGGTAGGCTTTTGAATATAGAGTCTAGTCCAAGGTGCAATCGCAGCTCATGTCTCGTGTCTGCTGGTGCTGTTGACAGGAACCAATTGCATCCGCTGGAGGCCGTCAAGGATGATGGCATTCTGATGTACATGGTAATGATCATCACGAACATCTCACAGCCTCTGGAACTGTCGCTCATTCGAAAGAAGTCGGCAGCCAAGCATTTGTCTCATGTCTTTCTACTGGTGCGTGATGCGGACACCGTGTCGGATGCCTGGATGAGGGCCAGCTTTCGACAGTTCTGGAAGATCTGGCTCCTCAATATCGTAATCGTCTACTGGCGCAACGATCGCTTGCATGCCTATCGGTATAATCCCTTTACCGACAACTATTTAATCACCGTATCCCATGAGAGGCATCGCCTGCCGACAGTCGGTGAGCTCTTTCCCAAGACCTTACCGGATATGCAACGCAAGCCGCTGAGGATGTGCATCTACAAGGACGACGTTAGGGCTATCTTTCGGCCGAAAGGCTTGATTTTGGGAACGGACGGTCTGATGGCCAGCTATGTGGCCGAACGTTTGAATGCCACAATGATGATCACGCGTCCGCATTCCTACAACTACAATCTCAGCTCGGACATTTGCTTCCTGGAGGTGGCCAAGGAGTACGTTGATGTGGCCATGAATATTCGATTCCTGGCACCCGACACGTTCCAGAGGCTGGCGGAGAACACAGTGGCCCACAACCGAGACGATCTGTGCGTGATTGTTCCGAAGGCCAAGACTGCGCCCATCTTCTGGAACATATTCCGCTCGTTTAGCGGCTGGGTGTGGACCCTCATCCTCGGCTCTGTGCTGCTGGCGAATGTCTTTTGCTATTTGGTCCACCGACAGCCGCATGGCAGAGGGGCTGCAGCAGTGTCCATGCAGCTGTTTGCTGGTGCTCTGAACATGCCGTTGACGAATGTTCCCCGGAGCCACTCTCTCCGGCAATTCCTCATCTTTTGGCTGTACTTTGGGATGCTCATCTGCAGCGCCTTCAAGGGAAATCTCACCAGCATGATGGTCTTTCAACCCTATCTCCCGGACATTGACGATCTGGACGCGTTGGCCCAGTCATCCTACCCCATTCTGATCCGACCGCGACACATCAAGCATATTGAACACTTCTTGACGTTGGGCCACCAGCACGAGGCCAGGATACGGGCGCAGATGATAAAAGTGACGGATGGAGTGCTCAACACCCGGATAGAGCGCAACGATCGTCGGTTTGCGTATTTGGAGAAGTTTCACATTGCCCGTTTTCAGGTGAACAATCGCAAGCATATGGTTCTGGGGCGACCGGTGTTCCACCTGATGGACAGCTGTTTGGTGCCCTTCCATGCCGTCTATATTGTGCCGTATGGATCGCCGTATCTGGGCTTCCTGAACACCCTCATCCGCAGCTCGCATGAGTTTGGGTTTGAGCGCTATTGGGATCGCATTATGAACACTGCGTTCATTCAGTCGGGGGCCAAGGTGGTGCATCGCCGGCACAACAGCAACGATGATCCGGTCGTGCTGAAACTAGAGCACTTTCACGCCGTATTCTCGCTGTGGTTCATCGGCATGGGGCTGGCGTGTGCGGCATTCATCTGGGAGCTGTTAACCCACAACTACAACTGGGCCATAACCAAGCGGCGGCGCTAACGTAGCAGAAGCAGCAGCAGTAGCAGTAGCAACAACAACAACAACAACAACAACGACGCATGCAACAAGAACATGGGGTGACAGATGGGGTGGCCATCATGTGTGCGATGGTCACTTACCTGGGACTTTTCCTCCTTAGTTTTGTTTGCTTCCTTTAGCACGGCAATTTCGTTTGTCAGTCTTTGGATTTCATAGTTGATCAGGCCATCGGCCGTCGTCACGTGTGTGCTAGTGCTGGCATTGGTGGCCTCGTTGGCCAATTCGTTGGGTTTCTTTGAACCATTACACTTTTTGGTTACATCCAGCGTATGCTGAAGTTTCTTAACATCGGTCTTCCATTTGCGGCTATCGGCATCGTTTTGGGCCCTGAGAATCGCGCAGAAACAAAGGATCGATAAGCGATAAGAATCGATAGCCACCGATAACACTCACCTGAGGGCACGCACTGCTCCTCGTTCTGTGATCAGGCTGGACTTTAGCTCGTTCACCTCCAAACGTAGCTGCTCTGTGAGAGCATTCAGCTTTTGTATGGTGTCCAGATTCTCCTGCAGCTTGCGCTTTATACGCTGCGGCGGGGCCGTTTGCACTTTAGTCGTGGTTACGCCCCCAATGATCACCGGAGGGCGCTCGGTCTTGGCGGGCCTGGTAACGGCTGCATTCTGCACTTTTGCAGCCTCAAAAGTATTTGTGTCCTTGGCTTGCAATTTGCCGCGACACTGCAAATGGATACCCTCGATACGGGTGCGTTTCTCCTGATTGACTGTATCCCCAACGGATGTCAGGGATGTACTTAGCTTCTTCTTGCGTTTCAGTTTATTTTTGCCGACGACCAGCGTCTGCCAGTCCTCCTGGAAGCTCGCTTGGCCCCTCGATTGGGGCTCTGTTCTACTACGCACTCCTCCTGGCCCGCCATTGTGGGGCTTCAGGATCTGTGGTGCGGTTAATCTCTTCTCATTGAATCCTTTGCTAGAGGTCGTTTTTGTTTGATTTTCAGCCATTTTAATGTATCTTTCGTATACAAAAATGTAGCCGTCGTTTGTTTTTTTTTGTTGTTTTTAGTTTTTTTAAAAGTTCTGCATTTGCGGTGTGTGGTCCGACCCTGACGAAAGTCTTTGCTATATTTACTTCACCTGGTCATTGATAGATTCGCCTGAATCTCATTCAGGGTTTATCTGGAAATAAAATCAGAACACAATCATTAGAAAAACAATGTTTCTCTCTCATAAAGGGTTCTCTTGGGTGCAATATTCTGGCTTTTTCTTTGCATTTCTTTGGCTTCTGCTTAGCCATTAACTTCTAAGCTCTTTTCTTTCTTCGTTTGCCCCATTCCCTCCTTTCTGTGTGGCATGCAACAAATCAACAAGTTTTTGCCCCCCTTTATTGATTTCCATGGCAGCAGAGCTTTTCTTTCAGTTTTGTGGGAGAGGCCACATATGTACGAGTATGAATGAAATGAAAAGGAAACATCTATTGTAATGGGGGACTAGTTTATGATGTGAATTGTTTTTGGACGGGGGGTTTACTAAATAAACTACTCCCAAATGGTCTATCCAAATGACGTCATGTGGCGCGCCTAAAACAATGTTTTAGGGAACCCAAGAGAGCTCTTTGCACGCAATAAAAATGTACATATTTCATGGTAGTTTTTCCCCCCAGACTCTTCAGAAGCCCACTATTAGCAACTAGAGCAAAAATACTTTGCATTGTTCAAACATCCGTTCGAACAAAAGCATCTATATACATATACCATTACTATATGGCAGAGATACGACCAACCGAGTGATCGCGCACATGAGGCCCTCAGTTCATATGGATGATCATCTTTATCAAGGCCACCGATCTTTCTATATATACGCACCTACATACATATATAGAAAATGTGTGTGCACTTGGCAACTTTCCTGAGATTTATGGGAATTTGATTTGTTTTTCCAAAACCAATTTGAAACGCCATAGATTCTGGATAAGTGGTTAAAGTTTTTTAGTGGGGGATCGGATCTAAATATATGGAATGCTGATGTTGCATTTAATTAAATTAAAAATTGTTGCCACAAAGTCCGGCGTGTTAATAAAGTGTTTTTGGGGTCGACACACGCCATGGTGACATCACACGGGCCTTGCCTTGCCTTGCCTTCGTTTCTGGTGTGCGCCCACACCACATTTCCAACATCCACCAGAGACCCCGACCAGACGAAAGACGTAAGATGAAAGTTTTTGCTCTTTATAGTAAGTATGTATATTTTCAGACATTTTTCAATTTAATGACACATATTGCCAAACGATGGATGAGTCGTACCATACCGTACGTACAGCCTCCGTTCGACAAATGTATACTTCTTTCATGGCACCCCATTGCTGATTCATTGACGATCACGTATACGCACCATTAACATTCAAATCCTTGCGCAAACGTAGACCAAAGTTTGGCATTTGCCTCGGCGTAATTAACATGAACGAATTTACTGTTTACCAGCTTCACTCACTCCACATTCCACAGCGGGAGACCGAAGACTACATATGTTTTGTAATAGTCTTTACAGTTTATTTACTTCTGCTTGTGCGGAAATTGTTTGTTTAGAACTATTAATATTCTTTCTTGCAGTGTAATTTCTCGAATTTCGCAATGACGTCAATACGTTAATTTTTTTCGCGCCGCACAGAATAAGTCGAATTTCGTTGGTATGTGGAGCAGTTCTTTACAATCAATTTTCTTATAATTTCTTCCGATTTCGTTCAATCGAATAATTCACAGATACTCGTATAGGTTTTACAGGAAGCTCTGGGTATTACACTTAATTTTAGGTAGCGATTGTGTCGAAAATTATGTTAATTAAGAGGCGTGTGGTTCGTTATGTTAAATTAGTTGCAATCAATTGAAATTAAAATGAAACGTTCTATTCTAATTAAAATTTCGTTTTGCTGGGCGATAGCCAGAGATCTTTCGTTTCGGCCGGACACCGTTTGACTGACTCGCAGACGAGCCGGCGAAGCTTTCGCCAGCTTTCCGTATATTTGTTTAATTAAAGAAAGCTTTGGCATTTATTGATGCAGTGCAGTGTGCCTTGGGCGGGCGTGTGGCTTAGGGGGTGGCAAAGCTTTGCCTGATTGTGCGTGCACAAAAGAACTTCTGACCCAACTGTAGTTGGGGGCGGCGGAGGCGCACACAAAAGCAGCCGTTGGAAGCCGGAAGAGGCAATTTATTGAAAGCTGAATCTTCATATTCATAACAAAAACAAACCATCGACGCGCATGCATACATATATGTATAAATAACCCCAATGAATTGGAATATGTATCTATAAATGCAAGACTAAATGCAGCCTGCCGCTGCCGGCCCCCCAACAGCTGAAACTTTACAAATCACACATAAATTTGACAATGCCCCTAACGACACGATGAATGATGGACACAATTAGAACACACTCGGATTCCAGTCTGTCAACAGCAAAAGGGGGGAACAAACTTGGAAATAGGTTGATGCCTGCCTTATCATCTTATAAGTAGTTTCAATAAACTTTACTCACTCTGAATTTGCATTTGTTTTGTCATAGTAGATCTCTTCTGACTAGAGTCCTGAGCAGCGTTTCGTAATCACTTGGCGAGTTTCGATTGAATATCCATTGACATTTCTTTTGGGTTGTCTTGTCGTTAACAGAAGCCTTGAGCAACTAAAATTCCAATTCCACATTACCGAATTAGATTTAGATCTTCTTCTATTTCCATTTTCAATTTGCCTTTTTGTATGGGCTCTATTTGCTCTGGTGCACACAAACTCACTCAAGTTGAGCGGTCGGAACAAACTGAAGATGCGACGCATATTCTAAAATGGAATAAGCGACAGGCGTGCGTGCACCCAGTGGACGATCGCCAAATTTATATAAATAGCCAGAAATCACCAAATCTATATTTGAAGTTAGAAGAAATTTCAAAAACGCCGCTCAACGGTCAACAACGTTGCACGTCAGTGTGACCATCGTGCTTTTAATTTTAAAATAACGCGCGTACGCTTTAAGCTCTGTGTAGTTGCCGTGTTTTATTCCGCGTTTCCGTTTCACTCAAGTTTTTACCGTTTAAATAAAGGGGGCTTGAGTTCAGAATGACCGCTTACGGTGCGTTTAATACTTTACAAACGGGTATTGATACTTCTATACGCAGGTTTTTTTTAATTTTCGCTCTCAAATCGTACGTGTATGTGTATAATAATTACGTGTATAATTTATTCCAATGGATTGGATTTAAACCCTTTTCGCTCATTCACTTTCAAACAATTTCTATTTGGCGCGCACCACTCGTATCCAGTAGATAGTATCGATGACCGAACTTGAATCGGGTAATCATTTAACCGGTATATTCAGAAACTCACTTACGTTGGAACTGTTTTTTGTTGACTTTTTGATTACAGCTTGTTTTAGACACAATAAAATACGAAATAGTTTTTAAAAGTAGCTAATATTGTAGAACAATTATTCATCAATGGCCTTAAATTATGTGGGCAGAGCTAAGGGTTTTAGTTAGTCAGCATTATTCAACGGAATTTCAAAATTGAGCAATAGGAACGATTTTTATCGTTACGTTTTATTACGTTTTATTTGTTTGACCATTTTCGTAAAAGCCTTTTTTTAGGCAAAATCCAATAAAACATATGTGTCAAATAAACCAGCCAAGTATAAAATTGGTTAATAAAACGGATAAAATTATGTGGACGTGGCTAAATGTTCGATCTATCTAGTAATATTTGACGGAATATCAAAATTGAGCAATATGGTTGGCAATCCTTGACGGAGAACGATTAACCTATTATAAGCCAAGGGGGTATTTCCATTTTCCACGGAAAATAATGCAAATTTAATAATTTTAGCGCAGTTCAGGTGAAAGTTTGCGAGGTTATTTTTAAGTTCAGAGGAAAGATGGCATGAATCTACAAGAAGAATTTACAATCGTTAATATTTACAACAAGTCGTTGAACTGTTTAAATAAGGGGGGCTTAGGTGGGCCAAGTTAGTTTTTTCATCGGCAGCCTGGCGGGCATCGATAATAAATCGACGTTTCTCCAGCTCTAACAACGTGCCGCTGCCTGCTGTCTGCTTGGAAATTGATTGTTTTAAACGACTTTAACTTGAAAACGGCAAATACTATCACATAAAAATGGTAAGTCATCCTGTAAATAGCCACCCGATGGCCTTCGGTGGTAGAAATATGCATTTGCTGTGGGATAGCATGCGAATGTAAACATAACCTGCAAAGAAGCTTCTGGCAAAAGCCGACATCTGGCGCTGACTAATGATGAGATTTATTTGGATTCTGTTTTTAGCAACCGCAAATTGTGCTCCTGAAGGAAGGTACGGACACGTCGCAGGGTAGGCCCCAGCTGGTGTCCAACATCAATGCCTGCCAGATGATTGTGGATGCCGTGCGGACCACTCTGGGTCCCCGGGGTATGGACAAGCTAATTGTCAATGCCCAGGGCAAGGCGACCATCTCGAATGATGGCGCCACCATCATGAAGCTCCTGGAGATTATACATCCGGCCGCCAAGACCCTCGTCGACATAGCCAAGTCACAAGACGCCGAGGTAAAAATTCGAAATGGCCCGAAATGAAAATTTAGGCACGTGACTCACCTTGTTTCCATTTTGTTTTCTCTGGTAGGTGGGTGATGGTACCACTTCGGTGGTGTTGCTGGCCGGTGAGTTCCTCAAGCAGGTGAAACCGTTCGTTGAGGAGGGTGTCCATGCGCGCATCATTATCAAGGCCATCCGAAAGTCTCTGCAGCTGTGCATGGACAAAATCAACGAAATGGCCGTGCGCATTGAGAAGCAGTCGAAGGAGGAACAGCGTACTCTGCTGGAGAAATGCGCTGCCACAGCCATGTCTTCCAAGCTGATCCATCAGCAGAAGGATTTCTTTGCCCGCATCGTTGTGGATGCTGTGCTCTCGCTGGATGAGCTGCTGCCACTGAACATGATTGGCATCAAGAAGGTCACCGGCGGTTCGCTGGAGGAGTCCCAACTGGTCTCTGGCGTGGCCTTCAAGAAGACCTTCTCATATGCCGGCTTCGAGATGGCCCCCAAGTCGTATGCACCCTGCAAGATTGCCTTGCTGAACATCGAACTGGAGCTGAAGGCAGAGCGCGACAATGCCGAGGTTCGTGTGGACAATGTCCGGGAGTATCAGAAGATCGTTGATGCCGAATGGCAGATTCTGTACAACAAATTGGCCAAAATTGTCGAGTCCGGTGCCAATGTGGTGCTGTCCAAGCTGGCCATTGGCGATGTGGCCACACAGTATTTCGCAGATCGCGACATTTTCTGCGCTGGTCGTGTCCCCGAAGAGGATCTCAAGCGCACAATGAAGGCCTGCGGCGGTGCTGTGATGACCACAGCCAATGACATCAAGGCCGATGTCCTCGGTCTCTGCGAGACCTTTAAGGAGGTTCAGGTGGGCGGTGAGCGCTTCAATTTGTTCCAGGGTAAGTCGTGCTCTCACTACTAAAAGAAGTCGTTTGCTTAAAGGGTTCTCTGTTTTCGGGCAGGTTGTCCCAATGCCAAGACAAGCACATTGATCCTGCGCGGCGGTGCCGAGCAGTTCCTCGAGGAGACTGAACGTTCGCTGCACGATGCCATTATGATTGTGCGTCGCACCATCAAACACGATTCGGTTGTGGCTGGCGGTGGTGCCATTGAAATGGAACTCTCCCGGCTGCTGCGCGACTACTCGCGTACAATTGCTGGCAAGGAGCAGCTGCTGATTGCAGCCATTGCCAAGGGACTGGAGATCATACCGCGCCAATTGTGCGACAATGCCGGCTTCGATGCCACCAACATTCTGAACAAGCTGCGCCAGAAGCACTCTCTTGGTGAGTACAGATCAGATGCAATTTATAGACAATATTTGGGGCTTTATAGTATTTAATCTTTAATCTGTTTATACAATGAAATGTGGAGGTTCTACTTTTTGAGCTGCTCGTGCCACAGGCGGAAGCAGGGATCTTGGCACAGACCTGGCTTGTCCGGGCAACTGTTGCACATGTATTTGCTGTACTGCAGCATGCCACCTTTGTGGCAGTAGCGACAATTCTTTCGTGCTGGCTTACCATTCTGGCGTATAAGGATCGGGTCATGTCGTATGGTAGTGATTAACTTCATCTCCGGGATCGCCGTCACCTTCTTGATCTTCTCGGGTACTTCGGCTTTGTTTGGGCTCGTGGCAGCAACAGTTGGCTCCGTGCCCGCCGTCTCCAACCTCAGCAGCGACCGAATGATTGCCACACGAAATTCGGGATAGTTTTTATACTTCAGTGTGCCATCTCCTCCTCGCGGCAGTGGGGTATTGTTCTGATACAGCAGATACGAGTTGTAGACAATCATATTGAGCAGAAAGATGGCCAGTTTTTTGTCCGACTGCAGGCCCTGGCAAGTCGGCTGATACTCAATCAATTGCTGTCTAGTGTTGTTGGCCGGCCGCAATTGCCGGTCTATCTCCTGGATGAGCTTCGGTCGGGCATTTGTCTTTTGCATGGACATCTCTTTCGAATAGATGGCCAGACAATCGGAGCTAAAGAAGTACAAACTCTTCTCGCGACGCCGCCACTTGCCCATCATCAATGGGGGAGTGGCATACCACATGGCAATGCTGTTCGATGTCAGCTGCTGATGCACCAAGGCCTTGCTGTTGCCATACCTATTCCTGTCCAGCAGTCCAGTGCAATAGGTGTTCACTTTGGACAGCTCAAAGGCAAGGCCATAGCTGCCATAGAACTTGGACGCGTAAACAGTTCGTCCCTCCTGATGATCCTCCACCAGCTTCAGGGCCAGTTCATTTCGGTGCTCCACCAACTGTCGGGAATTACGAACCCAGGAGCCTGCTTTCTCTCGCAGCACAATCTCTGGGAGAACTTTAATGACCAGGCCGCTCTGCTCCGTAAGCATGTGTAGAAGGAACGCATTGCTGCGGAATTTGTGCGCCAAATCCTGATTGTAGCTGAATCTGCCCTTCCATAGGGTCACTGGGTCATTGAGCACCAGCTGCTGGCCGCAGACATACAGCTCCGCCATGCGTTCGTTGATGAATGCCAGCAATTTATTGTAATCCTCTCCATTGCTCTTCCCCTTCACATCGAGGGCATCGAAGTTGAGCCACTGCATCAGCTGGCGATAGCGTTCCAGGGTCATCTTCTCATTGAAACCAACAAATCCGTAGTGCGCTTTGTTGTTCCAGTAGTCGGAGAGCTCGCTCAGCTTCACATCACTCATGAGGAGGGAGAGGCCCACAAATGCTTCCATCTCCTCGGCGTGGGTCAGGTTCCCGCCATTGGCACGCATGTTGCAGCTCTTGGCCAGCGAGAAGAAGAACGTGCCCCGGTGGCCGAGGATCTGGTTGAAGTAGTGCTGGGGACCCATGTAGTTCTTGCCGCCTTTCAGGCCCGTCTGCTGCAACGGTGTGTTGAACTTGAAGAGCAGGCGAGTGCTGGACTGCTGCGTTGTCCACTCCGGATCATAGTCGTCCACTTCGTCTGCACGACAAGGGTTACATAAGTCAAGGGTGGAGTTGCTAGTGGAAGTGGGGAATACTGCTTACCTTGGGTAAAGATATCGGCCGCCTCGTAGTTTATCTCAGAGTAGCCGTCTTCGTCTGAGTCACTCTCCTGATTGTCCAGGTCGGGTCCGATTTGAGCTGGGGGCTGTGGACGGCCCGACGCCGCCATCTCCAGATGGAGCTCTGTCAAATCGGGCTTGATGTCGGCGCTGCTCAGGTCATAGTCGGCGAGCGCCGGGTACCCTCTGTCGAGCGGCTCCTTTTTAATGTCCACACTGTTGCGCTTTATCGGCGATCTGTGATCATCCTGGCGCGGCTTTAGCTGCTGCTTGCGCTTGCGTCCCGAGGTAGACATTTTGCTCGAAATATTACTTTTTTCAAATATAAATATCTCCAGAGTGCTCTCTGCTAACGCGTGTTTTCTCGCCCCTGCTTGCTCTTTCGCTCGACGCACATGTGGTATAGTGTGTGCTCTTTCGCACAACTGCATATTCGTGTGCGCGCGGGCATTGTCGGTGCTGCCACCATGTTTCAAATATTACTGTATATTCAAAAATAAAATTGCTTTTCTCGTTCCAGGTGGTCAGTGGTATGGCGTTGACATTACCAAGGAAGACATCTCCGACAACTTTGAGCAGTGCGTGTGGGAGCCATCGATTATCAAGATCAATGCCTTGACTGCTGCCGCCGAAGCCGCCTGCATGATTCTTTCCGTGGACGAGACAATAAAGAGCCCCAAGGCCGGCGAAGCTCCCATGGCGGGTGGTATGGGCCGCGGCATGGGCAGGCCCATGTAAATCAAGCAAGGAACACAATAGTACACGAACACTAATCATCCTCACATTCACTTGCATTTCTCTTCTAATTTAACACGTACACGTATTACTCGGTCATAGTTCGCATTGGCATATGCAGGATTTTCGCGTTGCACCCCTCAACAGCTAAATTAATCAACTGACCTCTCTGTATATGTTTAATAATAAAACAAAATTAAAACCTATTTTCATAACAAAAATTGTTGTTTAATTGGAACAGGGTGGCATCATTATCTCTTTTAAGGCCAAATGTGTGCGTATCAGCGTGCTGTAAGACGCAACATTGTATATGTTAGGGCCAACAGACCGCCATAGCAGCGTGCTGTAAAGCGCTGTCTTGTTTTTTTCCTGCGCTGCTAATTTAATTGTTGATATTAATAAATAATAAACCAAAATGGGAAATCACAAGGTACTTCGAACTGCTGGAGCCAATTTGCGGTACTCCATGTATGAGTTCATTGAAGCCGTACACAAGCGGACGATTATCTGGGAGCGCCGACACCCAAACTTCCATAACCGGGAACTTCGGGATCAGGCTTGGCAGCAAATTAGCCAAGAACTGTGCAAGAACTTTGCAACAGCCAGTGATGCCGAGAAGAACGAAATTGGTAAGACTACCCACAAGGAATCGTTGCAGGTGCTTTATGTTTATCAAATAATTGCAGTAAAAACCCTAATGAAGCGTTGGAAAAACACGCGCGACAGCTATTTGCGTGTGTACCGAATGCGACAGAGTGGCAAAGATGTGATGGTGCGGGCATCCTACATATACGAGCAAGAGCTAAGCTTTCTGCTGGATGTCAAGACTGAAACCGATGATGAAGAGGAGCCCCTAAAGGAGGAAACCAAATCGCCTTGCAAACAGAAGCGCATTTGCGCCCAAAGAACAGCTAAAAAGCGGCGATGCTCAGAGGAGAAAACAACCGATCTGCCGGCCGCCACAAACTCTTCATTGCCAAATAATCTGCATTCCTTGCTGGGCGATCTTAGCGGCACAGCAGATAACTCAACGCATCCAGAATGTGGTGCCACCCCCGCCAAGCGATCAGTCACTCCATTCTCAGGAGACTTCGCCAGCTTTACTAATGTCTCTGCACCAACTTCCGCCGCCCCAGATGCCGATCAGGCGTTCTTTGATAGCATTAAGCCGCATATGCAAAGAATGAATGCCGATCAAAAGCTCGACTTTCAAATAGAAGTATTAAAAATACTTCGCAATTTCAAGCCAAATTAAAACAGTAGCTATAGAAATAACCCATAAAATGTGTTTTTCTTATTTAAAATTTTTGCTGTTAGCAGCGAGGCAATATAACATTAGTATTACAGCACTTTTTGTACGCGTAACAGAGAACGTAATCGTTATCGGCTATCGACTCTTGGCATATACCGCGACATTTGAAATACTGTAATATTACTTGGGTACTCTACAAGGAATGGAATAAAGTATATATTTCTTTTAAGAAATGTAAAAAAGAGAAGATTTATTTATCACAATGGATCATAGTACAGAGTTTGGATATTGAAGGCATGTGGAAGGAGATCGTATCATAACTGTAATAGAAGGAATTTAATATAAATACCAATAAGATAAATGAAACCATTAAATCCCATATTCTTCCTCCCATTTCCTAATCCTTATCCCCACCTTTGGATCAAATCCAATCCTAATACATGCTTGTCACATGCAGCAATATTTTAGCAAAAACATAAACTGTCAAAAACACACATAAGCCATCGGATAGCCGGCCGTCCAAAGCGGTTCGACCAGTTTCGGTTTATAAATAAATATAAAAAAAGAGCTTAAACCTGTATACCTTGTCTCTTTTATGCCAATCGGGTTTCCTTTATGTATACCGATGATTTCTTCATGCCATGGTTTTTTTCTCACTGCAAAACTTACGTGCATACGAACATACATATGTATGTATATATGTATATTCATAAGTCGCCACTTCAGATTGCACCCTTTATAAAGGAAATCACTGTGAAAACCGTTAAGGCTTCCCCCCCGTTAAGTCAAAGAATTCTGATTTCGGTGTCGGCTTACAGGGGGAGAGTTCCAAGCTGTTCCCTATGTGACTGTTGACTCCCTATGTGGCAGGCGTAGGGTAACGGTAACTTTACCCTCTTAAACCGCCCTCAACTCCATATACCATCATTTCATACACATACATATATGCTGCGCTGTTAATAATTGTATTTTTAGTAGTCTCCCCCCATTCCATTTGCCACTCAACTGCTGCATATGGAAGAAGTAAGGATGATGGACGATTGTATTTCGTGGTTGTTTCGAGTTTCAGGAATTTCGAGACTACGATCGGGACCCGATCCGTTCTCGTTCTCGTTCCTGTTCCCTCCACTCACACCACATTAGACATGCCATGGCTCCGGCAGCTGTTGTTTCAGCATTTTAATGCTCCCTTAGCTCTGCGTCGTCGGCTACCTGCATACCCTCTCGTATATTAACGTATTCCCAGCGTGTGTAACGTATTTTCAATCCCATAGTCAGGGAGAGGGAGATTTAGGTCAGATGAATGCCCAAAACCCAACCCCTGGGCTGATGCCATGCATGGTCCCTATACCTGTAGCAATCCTGAGCGTTCTAGTGGAACCGAATAATAGGCAGGAAGTCCCTTTGATGGTTTTTATTTCTTTCAAGGGTCCCGACGACGGAGCGGCCGCCCTTGTCGCTGGTGCATCGATTGTATCTACCAATTGATGCTGGTCTTTGTTTGCTCTTCTGCTTGTGCCCTTATAACCTATGCACTACGATCTACAATGAATCTACGGGTGAAAATGTGTATGTGTGTAAGCCTATATCCAAATGAAATCTCAGGTTGTGTTCGAGTTCTCCAATAGAACCACCTGCGTGCTCTTATAGCTCGTCCAGGCGGTCTCCGCCCGCTGTAAATACTCGTTGATCTCCTGCCGCTTGCTATTCAGCTCGTACTTCTCCAGGGCCAGCTTGAGGAGTACATATTCCAGGGAACGAATACCCCCATAGTTGGCGGGCTCCCTTAGGGCATCCACTAGGATGACAAACTTCCGCAGGAGCTCCACAAGTTGTCCAAAGTTTGAGAGGTTCTCAAGCGTGGCATCCACTTCGTTGACGTAGCGCAGGCTCTGCTTCAGACGGATGGCCAGATCGTTGCTACGACCCACCAGGGGAGCCAACTCTACGTTGAGCTGCTGTACCGCCCGCCTGGCCTCCACCACCTTCTGCACAGTCGCCTCATTGTATTGCTCCTGATCTGTCCACTGGCTGATGGGTGACTTTGTCGTTGGCTCATTGTCTATCACGGATATTTGATTGTTCTCCACAAGGATGGTTTTGTTGATGGTCTCGTCCTGGCCGTTGGCCGGCTGCTTAACATGGAAGTCCAGCGTGAAGTGAAACCGCACATTCGCCTGCAAGAGATCGTCATATTAGACTGGCTAGATCCGAATGGTAGAAAGTAGAGTGTCCTGCCTGAACCAAGGAAAATGTGCACACGATCAGCCAAATGCTGGCTGCCACAACAGCCACAGAGAGCGACATCTTGCTGGGAGACTGGGAATTGTTTGACTGGAGTCCCAGCATAGATCACACCACTAAATACAGATGATAGGAGGGCCCTTATCTGCCCCAAAGGTCACCAATGGCGGCTCATCATTATCAGTCGCTTGACCGATAAGCGAATTCATTCAATGAATGCCTGGCAGGCGATAGCCGTAGTGTGGGGAGCGTGCATGTTTTTTCTAGTCACGTGGTGGCTTAGATGAAAAGTATATATCATACTGGTACACCTAGGATTTCCAAGGGAACTACAGAGGGGGATAGGTACACAGGATTGTCTGCACAGAGAGCTTTACTGTACGTAAGAGTGTGTACATATGTACATACATACATATATACAAGCGCACGTGCAATTAACAATACAAAAATCGTATTGAAATCCATATAAAGCAAATAAAAGTCTTATAAGCGTTTTGTTTATTGTACGGGAGTTTGTTAAATTTACTCCGAAGCCAACCCGCATGGTTATTTCAGATTCATGAATCATCCACCTTTATTTTTCGGAACTCGTTCGTAGCCATTTCCGTTACGCGGTGCCATGAAATTGTTTGATTTTCGCAAGGGTTCAAAATATGCTAGCTTGGGATTTTTTCTTATCAAACCAAAGGGAAACAACAATTCCCAATCGCCCATTTCTGTGCTGTGTGAACGCGTGCAATAATAATTAAAATGTACACAGAACCACTATAGGCGATAAGGTGCCAACTGGCTATCACATCTAGGGAATACACACATCCATATGTATGTACATACATATGTACATGCGAAAGCAGAACAGGCGACTATGATAGGGGGCCAAGCGAAGAAAAGCATAAAACAAATAACAGGGAATCAATAATAGAAATTGCGCAGCAAATATAAAATTATTCCATAGCCTGACAAAAGCAACAAAAAAGAAAAATGAAAATAAAATAACCGTTGACACGAACGTTGCAGAATATACAGACATACAGACATACATACATACACACATGCAGATAGTACACTTATGGTAAAAATATTAAGTACTCATCCCTAAATGGAATTTCAACTGGCAAATCATATATGTATGTATGTACTATGTACTTAATGTATTTTTTCCCAACCCACCCTTTTACGCTTGAGCTGAGTTGTAACATTTCGACTCATTATTTATTTTCTTTTTATTTTCCACTAGGTTTTCTTGGTTTGATGTACATATTTATGTATTTTGTATGGAGTTCCTTGTTGGTTCTCGATAGGAATCTCAACCTACCAGATAACATCCCTATCAGCGTCGCTCTTTGAATTATTTTATTTTAAATTCAAGTGTTGGCTGAGTACTTATTATTTTGAGCATAAGTGTACATACCATACATATGTATGTACATATGTCATATGTGTTGACGCCTCATACATATGCACATTATGTATTCCATTTTATTTTTATACTTTTTTTATTTTGTTGAGCGTTTGCGTACTCGACTCGGGTCGTCGTCGGGGAGACCAACGCACAAAACTTGTAAATATGAACATCCATCTTTGGCGGGTATACATACATATGTATGTACATACGTATTTTGATGTACATATGTATTGTATATGTGTGTGAGCGCGTGTGGTATCTCTGCCTGTGTATGTATCTCACAGATACCAATTGCGTGGAAAAAACATCTACCAGACCCGAGATCCCCGGCCCTGTTCACGTCCCCGAGACGAGACCCAGTGGTGCACGCACACTTTTTGTTATTCCCCGTCTCGTTTTAATACCCTGGGCTTCTCAATAGCATGGCCGTCTTATTAAATTGGATTACTGTATCTAACATCCCTCTATGGGCGCACTATGCGGCTTAGAGGGACATCTACCTTCCTTTAACAATATTTTCAGCTTTCTGATTTTCTGATAAAAATTTTCTCAAAATAGCTGCCGTCCAGCTGAATAGTCGTGTCATGGTACAGGGTATCCTAGCTGTCGCAGCTCATATTTGATCACGCTTACTTGTTTTTGTCTTCAGCTTTTAGTTTTTGCTTTTGTTTTGCTTCTTTTTTCCCAGCAACAAAAATGCAAAAACTCTCGCAATCGAAAATCTAAGCGGACGTGCGAGCGAGAGGGAAGAGAAGCTTTTGCGTCGTCGTCGTTACTGTTGTGCAACGTATATTAAATAGTGGGGTGAGGCAGTGCCGCCAAATGCTTAGTTTGCATTTTACATTTCCTTCCTGCTCTTTCACGTGGCAAAAGCTTCATTGAAGGATGTTCGCCTGGCGAAAAGTGGGTGCTCTATCGGACTGCCATACCTTATATTTAATATACCTTAGTTTGTGCTCCTTTCCACATACAAACTCACTATCTCACACACATTTATCGTTCGCAATTAGCTTAAAGCAGCGCCATAAAAATAAAAGAGTAGCGCAACAGAAAGCAAAATAAAAACCAAATTGTTTACGCTTTTGATTCGCTTTAAGTTTGAGCACATACTGATGTACATATGTACATATGTATATGCTATGTTTGTATGTACAGGGGTGGTCTGAAATCATTTAAAAACAAAAAAATTAAACCGCTGCTTCGTGCTGTCTGTAAATCCAGTTTTCTTTTGCGACACCGATTATAAAGAAATAGAGACACAAAAAAAACCTAGAGAAGAAGGCTAGCTTGTGAGGCCGAGGCCTTTGTGGATACCCTTTCGATCCAACTTTCCCATGGCAGCTATGATAAAGTCACCCGTTTGGTTGGATTATGTCTCAAGATACTAAATGTTTTTTCTGCCAACTGCAATGTAGTCTTTATTGGTGTTCCGATCTTGTCGGTTTCTGCGCTCCAAACATCTTGTCTGATTCATCATACCCTCTGCAGCGGTATACAAAACAAAACACTATGTTGCTATGGGGAGGTGTGCGACAAAGGTGATGGAAGACACGTTCACCATTTGATAGTCGTCTCTTTTTTTCTTCGGGCAACCTCTAGAGAAACCTCCAACAATACTGCCCATACCAGAGTCCAATCCAAATGCTAGTTTATAGTGCGAATGAGTCATGATCATGTTTTTGCCCACTTACCTCTGAACTGAACCAGAAACTCTTTCAATCACTCTCTCTCGCCGCATCGCTCTCTCTTCCACTTTGGCCTGGGGGGGTGGTCGCTGTGCCGCCATCTGCATTTGTCGTTGAATATTGAAAATTTCCCAATCTCTTTGTTCATTTCTTTGGGGAATTGGGGGAAGGTGGGTGGTGGGATGGTAGGATGGTAGGAGCGGGGTATTGGGTCGGGGTTTAGGGTATTTTTGATGATGATCTCTTTGGGGGGACTTTTACATTGATTGTTTTTTTGATCGTTTAGGCAATTGTGTAATGATTTTTCTTAAGTTTTAACTTGACTTTGATGTATTCGGAGCTCGCCTATCGCTTCATATCTATATATATATATATGTATGTATGTATATATATATATATATATATATTTTGTTTGTTATATGTATGTATGTATCTATTATGTGTTATCTGTGGTGTAATAAAACCTTTAAACATTTATCGTTATCATGCTGGGCTTTCGTTTTGGTTTCTTGTGTAAGAATCTATAAAATGCTTAAATGTTGCGTATATAAATTTATCCAACTCACAATGACATATCGCACTTATCATACTGTTTGTCCTACCCCTACAGGCACATATCATCTATGTAGAATTAACATAGGAACAATCAGGATAGTGTGTTAGGCCACATAGAAACGAAAGGAAAGTGTTTTATTGCTTGTCGTGTTGTTTGTCGGCCTGCAGAGGATATTTACTCTTCGGCGCTATAAAGTTTCTCTATCATTTTATTTATTTGTGTGTAACTGTGGCTAGCTGCTCACATACGTATGTATGTATGTACTGCAGCTGCATATGTGTATACATGCTCGTATTTATGCATTTACTTGTACTCATTCGCTTAGGCTAGCGGTTTCTCTCTCGCTTGGAAATTGTGCAGCAAATCAAAGCCTGGAACATGTGAGAACAAACAACAGTGGAAGAAGGCTGGAATCTGGAAACTGGAATCTCGTGGGGAGCACATGGTGTACCAGAGGCGTGGGGTTTACAGTGGAGTAGCTTGGAGTAAAGGGGGGTTATTTGCCAATGAGCTCTGAAAAATGAATCGCCAACTAAAAAAGTAAACGGTTACAAAATGCAAATAAAAACACAAATTTGGGGTTTTTTTTTTTTGTTTAATCATACAAAGCTTTAACAAATTACTTCATAAAAGCCGTGTACAATTTTTTATTTTCTTTTTTTTTTGTTCTTCTATTGTTTTTTCTGTTGAATGGATTTGGTTTGTAAGGGTTTTTCTTTTGTTTTTCTCAAATGTTACAAGTTGACTTGGATTTAACACAATTCCAATATATTGCTTTTACAAATGTTTATCTCAGTGTAGTATTCACAGTTGTTTTTTCTTCTTCTTCAATATAGTTACAGTACTCTGGATCTTAACTCTACTGCTTCACAGCAGTGGTCCTCATTCATTCATGGGGTATTTTGTGTGTTTGGGGCATTTTTCTCTTTTCTTTTCTTATCTTTTTCCTTTCTTCATTTATCATTTGTTTATAATTTGTATATATACCAGGTTTAAAAATATAGCAAAGTATCACAAAAAATTGCAAATTAAATTGTAAATTAGATCAATGGAGAATTAAAACAAATATATATGCTGCGACGAATCTTCTGGCTTAAAAAAATGTGGGATAAAAATAATATTCGAACTCCAATAGAATAGTTTATTAATTTTTCGTCGATATGCTTTTAAATTAAAATGAATTTTCCTTCTTCTTCGTCTTCTTCTTCTTCAGGGGGGGCCGAACCGCAGCCGCTGCCTTGGAACACACGAGGGGGGGTGGGTACAAACGATGAGGGCCCGCACATCGTATAGAGCACGCTTTGATCTTGGCTGGGCTCCAACTTTTGAAATGGAAATTAATTTGTACTGATTGGTGTTGAAAAAGTTACCGAACCGTAACGCTTGTACCCCCCTGCCATCTCATTGATCCAAGGTGCGGCTTTGGCCATGG